CTGTCATGCAATGACAGCCATGATAAAGCAACCCATTTTCCTTCTACAGCATCAACCTCTTTGGCAATCAAGTTACATAAACCAAAGTTGTGAGAAGATACAATATTAACTACTGAAGGTACTATTATATTTGCCTGGCAGTGCTTTTATTTACATACTCTTTAACCTATTATAATGGCTTATGATTATTAAACAGTGTGGGCAGCAACAGGTGTTAAGTTTCAAAAACTCAACAGCAAAATATTAGCTAAATTTTCAACAACAGGGTTTAAGACTAATAGTTATAAATGACTTGCTTAAAATAATGTTTTTCCACTCATTTAACTGGCAGTGGTCCAAGTTATTTCCTGCACAGCTATATACACTATGAAGTGCCTAAGTTGTGTTTTTACTGGTTGCGTATACAAGATACCTTTTCTGTCTGCACTTCCCTTCCTTGACTGGAAGCTTTACTGTGCAGTAAACAGAATTGGAAAGGTTATGATATATAACATAATCAAAACATAATCTCCTGTATAAAATTAATATTACTTAGGGTTTTTTTTAAGTTAGCTTATTTTTTTTTAATTTCCACGATTAATATCCCACTCACTTCCATAGAAGAGATATCTTTTAACAGCTGTTAATCATGATACTGTAAAGACAATTTCTGGACAAATAATGATGTCAAAGAATGACCATTACCATTATGGATCTCTCAAGGATTGGTAGCTACTGTAATTCTGCAGAATCCAGAAGCAGAGGCACAAATCTAACAAAAAAGAGTTTAAAGAGTGGAGGGGATTTATTCTAAGTGATTAACATATCCCAGGCAGCAGTACCCCCACATGTTGGGAATACTAGATAGAATCATGAAAGTGTTTGGCACCAGAGTATGGATTGTGTGTATTTTACAGAGCCAGTGTAGTGAAGTAGCTACACAAGTACTGGTCTGAGGTTGGGGAGACATGGTACACATTCACACTCCCCCCCTAAAGTATATGATTGGCTTCTGTATGAGCAAAGGGGTGCTGGAAATACACATACCTGAAAGGGGAGACATTCTATGAAAGCTCCATCCATCTGTCAAGCTCACTGCGTGACACTGGTATTGATTTTCTCTCAAACCCACCTCACAGGATTGTTAAAAAGATCAAATGCAAGAGTGAAGGTGTAAGTAAACTAATGTGGAGCTTTGTTCTAATTTAGCCGTTCTATTATATGGGGTGAGGATAATTTCTTAAGGGATCAAGCTTTCTGTCATTTACAGATCAGTGCCTCCTTTCTTGGGAGAAAGCCTTATGGAGTTCAAAGACATTTACTTCTAGGCGACGGAGATTGCCTATGGCACCCCCCAAGTAGATTGGCTACAGCTATCTCCCCGTCACCGACCCGTAGCTGAAGATAACGGAGTTAGGCTTAAACACGTCAGGAAGTGTCAGGTGGGGTACTCTGATAATTGAAACCTAATTTCCTACAAGCCCGACTAAGCTGATAAGCCTAAAAGGTTCGATTACACCAGCTTCTTCCATCCGTGCATTGGATTCCAGTTCCCACTTTCCCCAGACACCTCAACGGGTGCTGGACATGAGGGGAGCTGTGGTTCAACGTATCTAGAGGAGGTCAGGCGAAATACACATTCGCTCGATCGGGACCTCACAGCTCGCCATGGGAGCGTTGAGCGCCCGGGAAAAGAGCGAGCTGAGAACCTCGCAAGCCCAGCGGACACGGGCCGGCTTACCATCTCGCTTCCTCCTATCCGCACCGGTCTTCCTCCAAACGGCGGGAACGGAATTCAAGCGGGAAAAGCAGCGGGAAACCGTTCCGCCTCCTTGACGAGAAAGCGCCACCTGATGACGCTCAGCTGTATTTGCACCCCACCAGCGGATTTGTGGGGATGAGGCGGGCCCGCCCTTCCTTTGCTGTTTTGCAGTGTCCCATAGAGACAGAAACAGAAAGAAAACACGCGGAAAATGTGCACACATACGCGGACGCTCTCTCAAGTTCTGTAAGTATTGGGCAGAGTGATTTCTTCCCCCCCCCCCCTCCTGTTTTTTTATTAATAATTTTTTTTTTTTTTTAAAAAAATTTATAATTTTTTT